CATAGAGCAATGAAGGATGGGGAAGTTGGAGCCACAGAAGGTGTTTGCAGTGAGCAATGCACAGTGGCCTAAGGGAGCCAAACTAGACAAGGAGGGGAAAAGGATGAGGAAGATGGCAGAGGACAATAAAAAAGTGCCGGAAGAATGATATTGGTAGGTCTTGGTGTGCAGCAGAATTGCTGGTGTTGGAAACTAGGGAAGGTGAACTGGAAAAAGAGCAGGTGGGGATCTGTGCAGGAGATGGGGAAGCAGTATGGGTGCAACTGTAATTGATGGTAACTAAGCAGAGCGTGAATTTGGCATGGATAGCAGAGGAAAAATAGAAACCAAATTACTGGAGGAGAGAGGCTGATGTCACTAGGGCCAGCACTTTTAGAGGAGCATTTCCTTGCAGAAGCAGAGCCTCTCCAGGGCTGCCTTTCATGTTGTGTGTTACACATGTGGTACCTGCCCCAGAGACACCAAAAATTACGGTAGAAGTAGCTAGTGGTCATTAGTGCAGAAGAAGTCAGCAGATGACTACAGTAGGGGGCAGGGAAGGACAGCGACTTAGAAGTGACCAAGATGGTGGGAGGAAAACCAACTCAATCAGCAGGCCAGGGGCTCCAGAGGAACAGAAGACATTTGAATAGACATTTGAACAGTGGCAAGTCTTCCATTTGTTAAGTATGTGACTCTAGGAAAATTATTTAACCTTTCTGGGCTTCATTTTCCCCAAATGTAACGTGGAGATAACCATACCTCTCTGGCAGAGCTCTTTTGAGGATTCAGTGAGATAGTGTCTGAAATTTGTATATCACAGTACCCGGTCTGGAGTGAGAATACATACAAAATCGAAGTGGTCTTATCAGTGAGAGTTCCAGTCCTTTAGAAGGGACGAGTGAGCCCAACCAGGTGCTGAGGGGTATTTCAAGGAGGATGAGGCTCTGGGCTGAGCTACAATGCTGCCGATGTCTCCATGAGAGGGGCGGGTCAGAGAGGAGGGTGAGGAAGCAGGCTCTGAGCCAAGACAGAACAATTAGCGATGCAGAAGGCTGAAAGGCTTGTCAGAAGAAATGGAAGTAAAACATGTTTCTAATCAGAGCCATGAGGAGGGTTTCCTGGAGGCTTTATTGGTAATTGATGTGCCTCTGACAATAATTAGACACAATTTCTGGGGACTTACAGGGTAGAGTCACCTAGTGGTATTATTTACCACACAGAACAGTGTCTGGAGTGAAAATGGATGTTATTGTTTCCTCAGAACACATTAGAAGGTGACTTCATGGTGAATAGATTTTTCAAGATGTTTGACATTCACTGACTTTCTATCAAGCTCCTCTTAGCCGCAGAGGCCATTACCGTAATGACAATACCTGGATTTATCTCTTTAATGGCAGAAGTTATGTGAGAGATAAATCCTCCCTCTGTGGATCTCCAGCTTTGCCTGCTGCAGCCACCAGAGAAGTCCTGGGAGTGAAGCGTCAGCCTCACTCCTGTCCAAGACTCATCTACTGATGCCAAAGGCCTGAATTAGCATGAATGATTTTGCCTTTTCTGTAGTGTGAGATTTCTTTGACCTAATTTGGGATTAAATATGATAACGTATATAAGACTTTTAGCACAGAATCGGGCAGATAACTAAACTCATAAATTATTATTATTGTTCTTTTGCAGTGTCTTCTGAGCACCTTCTGTATTGGTAGAGTTCAGCCCCAGGGGATAGGGTCCGGGTTGGGGAGAATCAACAGCGTTCCTGGGCCATGGTGGTCACAGACAGCATTGCCCCTGGGAGGCCCCGGGTTGGGAGGCTTGTGTTTTTCCTGGAGTTGGCTTGTCTTTGGGTATAATCCTGGAGGCAAGAAGCCAAATGGCAACTCACCTGTAAGAGCACCACACAGGGATTTGAAATCAAGGCTTTATAGATCAAACCCTATCAGTCTGCTTCTCAGCCCCTCTGCACTGGAACCCAAGTGGGAACTGGAGTGGGGCCTGGACAGAGGCATGGATCAAACTGTAACCTAGTCTCCAAGTTAAAGGCGCCATAGAAGTCCTGACAGCTCACCCTGTGCTCCAGTGGAGCTCGCCAATATGGGAAGCAATGTCAAAGGCTTGCTGAACTCTCATCCTGTAGATAGCACAGGAAGTTACTCTGCCCTGGGTGGGACTGCCCAAGCAACAGAGGATACAGTATGTAGCACAGTGGCTTCTGCCAACTAAATGTCAGTAGCTTCCTACCTCATCCTCATTCTGATAACCAGCAAGAACTCCCAGATTTCAGAGGGTCCCCAGTCTGAAGACCCCAAGATGAGTGACAATGTGCCCCAAATGTCCTCAGTGCAAACAGACCACTGTACAAATGGGACTGCCTACTATGTGGCCAGCCAGCCCCCTTACTTCACCTGGGTTGCTTCCTCATTCCTGTTCGACAGTCGGGGAGGCTTCTAGGGCTGAACAAATATTGAAGACTGCAGGTCCTGGCTGTCCTCTCCCTGAGCATGTGACCCTCTCTGAAAGAGCTGCCTTAGTTATATCACTTCAGCTACGTGTTAAGTGTCCCAGTTCATCACATGCCACCAGCAGAGGGAGATTCATTTTGAAGTTAATGAGATTTAAGACTCAGAATGTCTTCCAAATCTCATATATGAAAGAAACTTGATAGAATTCCCAAATTTGAAACAATCCTAAAATTTTATATGACATTACCAATAACGCCTCATCTGAGAAGTTTGGCTGTGGAATGATATTAAGAATACCTACAAATTATTATAAGTATCTGTGTGCCGAAGACTATACACCAGGTGCTTTCAACAGTCCCATGAGTTCAGGTTTTAAAATTTTTCCTATTTCATCATTTAGGAAATTGTGGTTCAGGGAGGTCAAAGGGCTCCCCCAAAATCATACAGCTGAATCAGGATTCAGACCCCAAACTTTTGGATTTCAAAGCCCCTTGCACTCTGCACTCAGTGCAGTACAGCGCAGAGAGAAAAGTTAATACACTGAGATGCTGGTTCAAGTTCAGGTCTAAAGGACAGGGGTGTCCTGGGCTTGTCTAAGAGAAGCGGGTAAAGGAGGAGGCATGCAGGGCCCCTGAAGAGATGGACACTTGGCAGGTAGGGCAGTGTGTGTGTCTGGTAGCAAGGAGCTACTCCCTGGATGGCCAGTATTGAGGAGGAAAGGTAAGCAGTTTGGCCAGGAAGGATCAGGCAATGTTTGTAACTCCAGCTCAATTTGGCAGTCACTCCTTTTGAAAAGAGTGGCATCTTTTCCTCTGTTTCATGAAGGAGAAGATACAGGCCTGCAGATTTGCAAGTTAGGGAACAGAGGAGCAGGGCTGGTGAGCAGAGAAGAAAATTAGAGTCCAGTATTCTGCTTGCTATATTGGAGGAAGCAGTCATTTGAGGAGAGTTACTGGCGAAGAGTTGACATTTGAAGCATACTTTGGACAAGCTCAAGGGTTCAGAATATCCATTTCCTGAAAATGATAAATAAGCCACATATACAAGACAGAGACACCCAGAGTACACAGAGGTGGGTGAGAGCACCCAACAGGGAGGGAGAGGACAATACAGGAGGATTCCAGTCAGGTCTTTAGAAAGAGGTCCATTTTCTTACCATCAACAGACAAAGGTGTTTCTCCAGTTTCTTAGTGTGAGTTTGCAATGTACAGGAGAAACCTACTTATATCACATATCCAGTCTTATATACAATTATGTTTACATCAGCTATCTGTTGTTTGCATTACAATGTAGGTAATTTGACAGTGAGCAAAATGAAAAGTGCACATGTTCTATGAGCCACTTGTTGGAATATATCTTACAGGATCGCTAGCATGAGTACAAAAAGATATATGGACAAAGGTATTTATTATAACTGGTTGAGTGAATTAGGGGTAAAAGATAATGGGTTACTTGCAACCATTAAACGAAGTTTGAATATTAAGTGAAAAAGTACTGTGCAATGGACATGTCCATTAAAATCACTGCATGTGTACACGTGTCTACACATATTAAAGAAAAAAGTCAGTGTATACCTTTGAGAGCTGAGGTTAAAAATAAAAAGGGACTTTTACTTCTTACTTTATTCCCCTTTCCAAAAGTAAGAAGCGGTGAAACTGTGGTGATATTTTTTGTGCCTTTTCTCTATTTCCCCAGATTCCATATAGAAAACTTCTGTTGCTTTTATGTTGCTTTTATGATACAGCTTCATTTCTGCCTGGGAAGCAGCATGGTGTGGCAGTGAAGTGCATGCGTCTGGGTCAGATTATTTGACTTCACAGCTCAACTCTCCAGCTGTGCTGCTGATGGTGACAGTAGATGGATGACCTCACATCTGAGTGCCTGAGTTTCTCCACTTGTAACACAGAGCTAATCGCAGTGTGCAGTCCATGAGACTGCTGGGGTGGAGAGAGGCCCTTTGAGTAAAGGGTGTGGTCAATGTTTAGGAACAGCAGGTGATTATTACCAGAAAGATTAAGCGCAGGGATGTGGGTAGACAGGTTGATATGAAGTAGAGAGCTACTCGGTCTTGTTTTCCCGGAGATTGGAAGGTTGGAGTCACAAACAAGATGAGGAGTGGTCGAACTCACTCAGGATGCTTTTCCTCTCGAAGTGGGTTAGGAGAGTCACAGGGAAAGGCCCAGGATGACCCTGTATTTTCACTCCTGCCCACTTTCTTTCTTTCCTCCATCCTGCAGGCCTGATTCCTGCCTGATTTTGTAGGGCTTCAGTCTGAATGGGGAGCACTGCACCTGTCCTCATCCCTCTCTTGAAAGGCAGGGACCAAGGCAGCCCATACTGTCCCCAAGGTCTGCAGTTCCCTCAGCAAATTAGGCCCAGCTGGACCTGTCACCAGGTTTTTCATCAGCTTTCTCTCTTCTGAGGCTTGGACAAATGATCAGACCCTAGGAGCTGGGTTCTGCCTGTGGTGGAAATTGGTTTCTCAGAATTTACTGTTTGGCTCTAAAGCTGTGGTCACTGAAAATGACTCATGGTCCCATTTGTGATTCCTTTTCAGATAAATCACAGGCCAGACAACTCAGCATGCTTGAAATTCACAGCAGCCATTTCAGATCTCAACATATTTAGGCCCTTTGACTTGGCTGTTTAATGTGCTAGAAAAGGTCCCAGGAAACAGAAAAGGGTCACCTGGTTCCCGTACAAGACAACTACACCTTGAAAAGTAACAGAGCATTGCAGAAGCACCACTCCTGATAGCAGCTCTCCCGACTGCTGAGTTACATTGTGTTATGCCAGTGTGCCTCTGGAGGTCACTTACAGCTCTGAGAACTCAGGTGAGGACCCACTGCCCTGGCACCCTTCAAGATGATTCACAGTCTGGCTGTGTCATTACGGTCAGCCTCCCATCCCCAAACTTCCTTCCCCTCTCTTCTGTTCCCTGTCCCTGGCTCCCAAGCTTTCATACAACATTTACTCACTTGTGTCTGAAACTGGTATCAGACAACAAAGATATATTTCCCTCTCCAAGCCAGTGTGTCTCATACCATGCACAGTACTTTCTCTGGGAGTAAGGGAAAGGGTAATGTGGATTGAACTCAGGATCTTTGCTCCAAAATATATCCCCAGCCCTTTCTAAATTATGTTTGTTTGTTTGTTTGTTTTGAAAAAGAGACTTGCTACATCATTAAGTTGCCCAGGATGGGCTCAAACTTTCATTCTTCTGTCTCAGCCTCCCAGAGTGCTGTGATTACAGGCATGTGTCACCATGCACTGCTGCACAATACTTTTGTGTTGCTTTGCTGATTGTCTCATTCTAAGGCATTCTTGATACTCCAGTACCGCAATAATGTGCTCTATTATGTCTTTCTAGAGCCTCCTATACAGAGTTGATTATCTTACCTCATTCTTTCTAACTTATCTGTTCATATTTGCCTCCCTTGTTTTCTTTTACTATTTTTCTTATTTTTAGTATATATTTAGTATAGTTCTCTCATTGTGGTTTTTTAATATAGTTGATCAATAGGTCTCACCATTTTCTGGGTATAATTTAAAAGCAGCAGCAAGTAACTATCTATTAAACATCTATAACAGATAGACCTAGGACTGGGAAAATAGTGAACTACTAAATAGACTGGGTTCTAGCTGCTCATGTTATTGTGTCTCCTTTCCAATGTGAGATCTCTAATTTGGTAGCTCTATTGTGGAGGCTGAAGATCAGCACATACCATTTCATTATGACCCTGAACAATTCAGATTCAGGTAGTCAAAGAGACGCTATTTGAGTAAGAGTGTTCTAGATTTAAAGCTTGTCTGAACATAGTGGAAATTTATAATGTCACTGTAGCATAAATTTAAGTCCAAGTGCTTTGAGCATGATATATAATAATTAGTCAGTTTCTAGTTAGTAAAGCTGAGTAACCATCCAGGACCCTTATCTCAATGATATCTGTAGTTTTCTACCAGTTTTTGAATAAACAGTGTAACAGTTCCTAAACTACCATGAGGATGTGATTCTTCAGGATGTTAATAGGTGACACAAAAAAAAAGATAAACATGCTTTCTTTCAACAGACTTTGTAAAAGCCTGTAAAAAAGCAACCTGAATTGTTAGTCTCCTTGGAGAGTCCCACTGAAGATAGTTTCTGTTTTACAAAGTTGGTGTATGAAATACACAGGCCTCAAACCAAAAGGCCCAAGCTTGATGATAGCTATGTATTTGTTAGCAACCTACTTAGACTGAGATTTTCAGGTTTCTGTTTCATTAATGCTGGCCCTGTCCAAGCCCCAGGTCTACAATGAGATTCAAATGACTTTAGTACATGTAAATGCTTTATAAAGTATAAAGTTATGAACAGACAATAGTTTTTAAATACATGGGGAAATGTACTAGGTGTCATAATTGTGGAATAAAGTACAACTGGGCAATGGAAGAGGAAGAAATTAATTTTGACTTGGATAATTAATTTATAGCTAGCAGTTGAATGAAATGCCAAAAGCAAACAAACACACACAGGTGTTCAGAATTGTTTTTCTGAAACCATTTGCTATTCATTTACGTGTTGTTTGCTATGAGCAGGAGCATGGGTGTAACTGGAGATCTGTGAATGCCAATCTTGAAGAGAAGGAGCTGCCAAGGAGGACTTTGATATGGCCAAAGAATTTTATTAGGATTTCAGAAATTTCACTGTAATTATTATACCTTAATAGGCAATATTGAGATAAATTCAATTCTAAGCCCAAGAAAATCATAACAAGGGGAAAGAGCTTTGAAGAGAGTACACAATAACTTTCCTTTATAGCATTTTAACATTAACCAGAGGAAATGTGAGATCATGCAATTTGTTTGGGATTAGCTCATTGGAGAATAGTCTATATGTCCAATGTCTTTAAGTAGACTTTTGACAATTCTGGGTCTCCTTGTAACAGTGTTTGCTGATTGGCTAAAGATTTAGTCAGTCAAGCTAGTGATTTAGCAAGAATGATCACATTTACACTATACATTTGTGTACTTATTAGCAAGTTTGAGACCTATTGATTACCTACTACTTACCAGAGTACTAGGTTCTAGGAAGTCAATATCTCATAAAATAAACCCTAAACTCATGTTAGACACATTTTAGGGGGAGTCATGGAAAACCAGCAGGGAGTGACAACACAGTGTGACAAGCTCCACATTGGGATGTATACAGAGTGCTTTGGAGCACATAGGAGAGTTGTCTGCATTTGATGCAATTGGTAAAAAGAAGTCATGACTTTGTTTCATGGCTCAAGAAGTAGGGATGATGAGTCTTTTGGGACAAACTGACTCATGGGACAAATAAGAGAGGAAGTGCAAAGTCAGTAAATAGGTAAAATAAAGAAGGCAATTAGAAATAGCAGATTAGGACTGGCCTCTGGGTGAACTGACTCACTCTTCCTGGGAATGGTCCTTTAGTTTGAAGGCTGATCCTCATAAGTAAAGGCTGACATTGGCTTGCTGTGTAATATGGTATATCGTAAAGGTGCTGCCCAAAGACTGATGCTCGTAGAGGACCTGTGGCCTGGGACTTGGGCAACACCTCTAAATAGACTGACTCCAAGACTTAACAGTGTACCATTGGGGTTTGTGTTGGCAGATTTAGCTTCATACAAGCAAAACTATTGTCACTAATTTTAAGTAGAACAGGCTGTTTTACCAGGTATTAAGTGGCTATAAAATTACTTGAAGAGCTAGAAGATTGGGCTCTCACATGAGCTTTCAAGGTCTCTCAGTCCCCAAGGTCATATGACATCAGCCATAATCAGGGAAGCTGCACCTTTGCTGTAAGAGGCTGCTGAATGTGGCAGCTGCCAACTGTTGAAGACATTGTCTCTACTTCATTCCATACCAGCAACCGATGTGTGCTGTTTGTGTTCTTCCTCCCTTGATTCAGTTTTGAATTCAGGTCCTCTGTGAGTGTACTTGGGAGTCTTTCTGGAATGTAAGGGAGTCTGCAAAATGCAGTTTTCTCCTTAGCTTCTTCAGCATAGGAAAACACACTGGGAGGAGGCCAGCATAAACTTGGAGCTATTATGGTATCTGCCACTAACATCCCTTCTAAAGTCTAATGAGGTGCTATCGGTAGAGTTGAAGCCCAAAGAACATAATCAACTCCTATTCTTTTTATTAATTGGAGGAAGGATTTGGGGAGGAATACCCGTCCTGCAGGGTTGGGGGAACTTGGGTAGTTCTTCAAAAGTTATGGGACCTCGAGAAAGATAACTGTGGAGTTGATGAGGATGTGAGAGGAATGGTTGAGGAGCCAACGGAGAGGGTGAGAAATTCAGCAAGGGATATGAGAAGAGTAATGGAGGTGCACAGTTTAGTGGGGCAGCTGAGTCTTGGAGTCCAAAGCAGCTGAGATCTCAAGAGCACAAACTAAGGAATGGTTACCTTGAGTGATTCTGCTAAAAGTCATGATGTTGGCTTATGGCTGGATTAATCAGGAGGGCAAGTGAATTCTACTCCATATCTTTATGGCTACATGTTGATTGTAGCCTCAAGGTTTCCTGAGAGATGCAGATCACTCAGTCTGATCCTTAGCTGCGAAACTTTCCTTTGGAGTTAGGCTTTGCTTTTGTCTTCTTTGGTGGGACTAGGTCATGAGACCTACCTGAAGGCCCAGGTCTGACTGGATCTTTCGCCAATCGTAGCAGAGGTAGGAGGAGAAAGAATTCCAGCCTCATTATTCAGGAGGATAAAAAGCTGATGCCAAATGTTGACAGACCTGTTATGTGGACCACTATGGCTTTGTTCTTGTACTCATTCACTTAATCACCTCTGCGAGCCCCAGTCATGGCATCAGTCACATGTGTGGCAGGAAGCCTGAAATAAGTGGGACCCCCCCCTTAGATGGAGATGGATGGCAGAGAAGGTAAGGTGGACAGAACAGGGTGTACACAAGCCTCATGGCTAAAGTGGAGGATACAAGAGAAAGGGTGGCTGGACAGCCAGACAGGAAGGGCCTTTTGGGCCCATTATAGATATTTGTCTTTCTCTTAAGTATGGAGGGAAGCTTTTGAAAAGGATTTTAGGGTGGATGTAGTGAGATTAGTACTTAAAAATTGCTTTGGCATTTTAACAAACAGCCCTTCTTTTATTTATTTCTTGCAGGAATGATAGGACAGGATAGTACATGTGGGAGGTTGGAGTACGGAAAAGTGGACTAGAGGAGATCAAAGGAAACCTTTGCAGTTTTTTTTTTTTTTTTGTACCAGGGATCGAACTCGGGTCCTTTCACTTGTGAGGCAAGTGGTAGAACCACTGAGCTAAATCCCCGGCAAAGTATTAATGGAGGTTATAAATGATAATGAAGATACAGGGTAATGGTAGTGAAGAAAAGGACTCATATACTTAGGAGAAAGCAATGAGAACAGAGTGGGTTTGTTCTTTTCTCTCTAGTCATTCCAACCCTATTTTCACTTTTAGACTTTGTTTCCTTTTTTTGTGTTTATCTTTTCAACTTATATTCTAGTGAAAGAAAATCAAAATGAATAGACTTCTTAAAAATGAAATTCACATCACAATATGGATATGTTTATATAAAACCCATGCCAAAGACTTTGAAGTGGTTTTAAATCTGCATTATATATAGTGCAATAGTTAATAGCATAGATTTTGCAGAATATTAACTATATGATGCTAGACAAGGTATTTAATCTTTCTAAGCCACAGATTCACCATCTAGAAAAAGGGGAGGATAATAATGCCTAACTTGATTGATTTCTTAGAGAATTAAATGAGATGATACATATAAAATTACTAGTATAGCACCTGGCATGATGAAAACACCCAATGGACGTAAACTAGCATCGTTATTCATAGCTTCTAGCTGGCCATCCTCTTGCCAGGTGACTGAGGCCCCCAGAGGCCTTCAGAGCCACCACTGAGCTCTGTACATGCAGCTACTGTGCGACAGACTTGTGCACAGATTGCAAGTCTCCTGAAAAGACAGTTCTGCATATTGAATTTAATTCTGCCTGTTTCCTCCCAAAGCCAGGTTCTGCCTTAGGGACTGTGTAGAACTTGTGGCAGAGGCTTCATGGTGGGAAGGATGGGGAGGAAATGAGGGGGATACTGTGAAGTGGAACACAGTTTCTGCTCCTGCTGGGTAATTTGGTAGTGGGTTTTCTTGTGGCTCATTTTGCTATAGGGCTGTGGTTTGTTTTCTTATTCTTCATTCATTTATTGAACATTTACAACATGTCAAGTGCTGTTACAGGTAACAGATTTTGCTGAGGTGATCTATCTTGCCAGCAAATTTTATTCTCCTGAAATTCTTAGCTTAAACTTTCTCCACAGTAGGAAAGAAAGGAATCAACTGGACACGTCTGTCCTAGAGTAGAACAGAAAAGCAAATCCTAGTGTGTGGATTTTGGAGCTTATTCCTATTGGGAAATTGTGCAGGGCAGGGGTCATGGAGAAGTTTATGGCACCAGTGAACACTCTTCCTCTTGGTTCTCTAAATACCCACCTGAGTAACCTGTTGTTATTACAGACAAGGGTGATTTTTCTCAGGTGGAGGCAGACTTTAAGACTTGGATTTTGTAGTCCAAACATTCTTTCTGTTATAGATTGAAAAAGTATTTACTTAATTGTAAACAAGTCTAATGGCTTTGTCCATTAAACAGTTCACAGTTGGCCTGCCATTTGTTGTTAGAATCTCTGGTTAATAGATTTTGCAGTGAGTTGCCTTTCACAACGAAGGACATGAGGCCTGTGATATTTCCCAGTGGTTTCCAAATGCTGGTCCACGGACCACTGATGATCTATGACAAATTTCTCACCAATCTCAGAAATATATGGATGGAGTAAATCTAAGTTCAAGGCTGCTTCTCTTATCATGTGTCTTCCCAACTTTCTATTATTGCGTGATAATGATAGTGAGTAATTTTGCTTTTTGTTTCTTTTGTAGGGGTGATTATTATCTTAAGAAATTAAAAGTTGAGAGGCCTATATCCATCAATTCCTTTTTTTGTTAAAATTCAGTTCAATTCAAAAGGCTAGGGAAGCTTCATATAGCTAACTAAATGAAAAATAGAAATTCTGTTTCTGGCAATATGAATACCAGATATTCAAAAAACAAAAAAAAGCCCTTCTGGTGCAAAACACTTAAAAAGAAAGTAAAATTGGAAAAAAAAACTTTTAAAATATATAGTTTTATTGGCAAGAAAGAAAAATTCTAGGAGACCAAAAATGACAAAAAAAAAAAAAAGGGAAAGCCATATTCGGAAGAGAAGAGACAAATCTCAGGTTCTGAGCAAGGTAGAATCAAAGACTTTTGTTCTAAAGCCAGTGCTCCTAATGGTGCCACCCATGGTGTAAAGAAAAAATGGGGGGGTGGCCCTCAAAGGAAGTGTACTAAATATATTGTCTGTCTCATCCTTCGGATGTTGGGAAGGATAAATTTCTCCTGAGAAATTAGTAAGAGTAAGTCACTCTCACTGAATTTAAGGCTAGACTTCCCATAACTATTATGAGCTGAGAAATCACAAATCAAGAATTTTAAATATTCTGGTTGTAGTGTCTCCAGATGCCTGGTAGGAGCAAACACAAGTCCTCCCTGGAGGTATGCATGTTGATTCCAAGCCTCAAAGAATTTCTAGCATATAATTCCAATTAACATTAGCAGCAAGTGAAAAATCACAAAATAAATGAGGAAACAAGATGTCACAAGAAGAAATCAAAAGAAATATCAAGAAGCAGAATCAGACCTGAAAAACTTCAGATATTAGAAATGTTGAATGCAAAATATAAAAGGGTATAAGAAGCTAGCTAGTAAATTTAAACAAAGAACCAATTAGAAATGAAATGAAAAATATACTCTCTGGCATTTAAAAGTTTCAGTT